TGCTGATACAGGGGAAAAAAACTGTTTTGATATTTTGTTATACGGTTATTGAATTACACAGATATACATTTATGAGACAACCTTGAATACTTTCTTCAAAATGATCCGTGGCAGAGAGAAAATATACACAGAATGTAATTATCTCTAATCAGATGGTTTTCACATCCTGGACATTGCTTGAGCTTTCTACATCCTGTTTGATAAAAGATAAATGAAACACTAACGTATTGCATCATTAAAAACAATAATAAGTACGGCTGCTACCCCCCTCCCCCTTCCAACTCTGCATTCATCCTACGCTGTAATTGAATCCTTGAGGCATTCTGTAAGGCTTCAACTGTATTGCGTTCCTGCCTTTCGCGTAGACGTGCCAGGATTACTCCACTCTGTCTCGTGATGAGCTACTGGCCATTCTAACAGCTGATCGGCTCAACGTCAGACATGAAGAGCAAGTACTTGACGCAGTTATTCGCTGGGTCATGGCAGATCCCACAGACAGGCAACGTGAGTCTGTGAAAATGCTTCTTCCGTAGAAATCCTCTTTTGTCTTTAAAAGTATATCAAGATGTAACTGTAACTGAAGGTGTTCTGCGTTTCAATGGACACGTCTGAGATCATTACATGGCATGCTGCTCCGAACATACCTGTCGGGGCGAACCCGCACTGAGATGAATACAACGTCCAATCAGTCAGACCAAACTACTGGATAAGACACCGACCCACAGGGTAATCAAACACATCTTCTAAGTGCGACGATGAAGCAACTAACTGCTACATAGAAGTTGGTAGAACAAATAATGAAATAAGTTCGGAAGCACCGCGAGAAGTGCGAATAATTTAGATAATTATTTTGTCCAGTGTAAATATCAGTTATTAGCATTGTTATAATAATAACGTCATCTTGCTCGTATGTTCCTACCTTTACTTTGCAGTTGACTCAACGATTAAGATGTAATTTCCGCGTTTGCTTTTGTTTTAAAATCGACCATGTGTGCCGTAGTTATGTTAAGATAGTCATTGGACTTGGGGATTAGTTGAAAAGTAAATTTGAAATTGTGGCAGATCTCAGCACGAAATACATTTTAATACAAATTATCTAAAGTCACGAAACGTGTGAGCTCAATTCCTACAGAAAAAGTCTTTAGTGTGTCATGACGCGGTGGAAAACCTGGCACTTGTCATCTTGGGCATGGAGCTATTGATGTCATCTTGAAGCTTATAGAAGTAGAGATATTTGTGAGTGAAGGAGATGAGGGTCTCCTGATGTCAGTACAAAAACTAGCGAGAAAATGGCACCATAATTTGTGACTTCAAATGCTGTACAAGTGCTTCTGGAAACTGGAAATTCATATGTTTTTGCCTTTAATTAAACAGCATTTTCCACTAAAATCCATACAGGACTGCTACATCTTTTTTACACCCTTTTCATTCTCTCTCTCTCTCTCTCTCTCTCTCTCTCTCTCTCTCTCTCTCTCTCTCTCTCTCTCTCTCTCTCTCTCTTATTTTCTTCGCTCATCCCATATAAATGTCTCTCTTTATTTATCTGTCCTTTCGTCTGTCTTTCTGAGTATCTGGCTGTCTGTGCGATGGCTTGTCTGTCTGCCACTGCCCTCCATACTCCTTCTTTCTCTGTCTTCCTGTCTGTCTGTCTTTCTGTCTTTCTCTCTCTCTCTCTCTCTCTC